TATACTGGTTATACTGGGATGGGTACTGGGGTTATACTGGTTATACTGGGATGGGCACTGGGGTCATACTGGTTATACTGGGATGGCACTGGGGGTGACTGGGGCACAGGAATCCCGGGATCGGGGCAGGGATCGGGAACAGCTCTGGGGGATCCCGGGAGGATTCCTGGGAACGGGATCCAGGAGAATTCCCTGGGAATGGGATCCTGGGAATGGGATCCAAGAGAATTCCCTGGGAATGGGATTCCCTGGGAAGGGAACCCAGGAGAATTCCCTGGGAATGGGATCCTGGGAACGGGATCCAGGAGAATTCCCTGGGAACGGGATCCAGGAGAATTCCCCGGGAAGGGATTCCAGGTGGATCCCTGGGAAGGGGATCCAAGGGGATCCTGGAAGAATTCCCAAATTCCCAATTCCGGGTTTGATCCCATCTCCTTTCCCTCCCGCAGAGCAAAGACCGGGACAGGAAGACGGGACAGCTCCGGAGCTAGGCCGGGAATTCCAGCCGGGAATTCCAGCCGGGAATCCCAGCCGGGAATCCCAGCCGGGAATTCCAGCCGGAGCAGGGGAAAGCCACGCTGGCGGATTCCCGGATCCGGGGACGTTTTCCTGCCGGATCCCACGGGAAGAACGGCACCGGAATTCCGGGATATCCTGGGAATGCACCCACAGAGCCCCAGGGACGGCGGAGCCACTCCGAGAATCCTCGGGAATTCCTGCCCGGGATTCCGGATCACGGAACACTTGGATCTCTCGGATCCTCGGGAATTCCTGCCCCAGGATTGCTGCCTGTGGAACACTTGGATCTCTCGGATCCGCTCCGGGAATCACTGGGAATCCCTGCCCTGGGATTCCAGCTCATGGAACACTTGGATCTCCCAGATCTGCTTGGGAATCCTCGGGAATTCTCGCCCCAGGATTCCGGATCACGGAACACTTGGATCTCCCAGATCTGCTTGGGAATCCTTGGGAATTTGTGGGAATCCTGCCCTGACATTCCTGATTGTGGAACACTTGGCTCTCCCGGATCCAGCCCAGAAATCCTTGGGAATCCTGCTTACAGAACACTTGGATCTCCCGGATTTACTCGGGAACCCCTGGGAATTCCTGCCTTGGGATCCGTGGATGCCCATGGAACACTTGGCTCTCCTGGATCCACTCCGGAAAACCTTCGGATCCATGGAGGCTCCTGGAACATTCGGCTTTCCTGGATCTGTTTCCCAGTCGATCCCAGAACTGATCCTGGAATCAATCCCTGAACTGATCCCAGAACTGATCCTGGAACCAATTCCTGAACTGATCCCAGAACTGATCCTGGAATTAATCCCGGAACTGATCCTGGAATCAATCCCTGAACTGATCCCAGAACTGATCCTGGAATTAAT